CTACTAACAACCATTGTTGTAGGCTTACTATAGTACTTGAGTTTGCAAAAGTTATGGTAAAGGCCAACAAAATAATGTAAAATGTTAATACTGAATAACAAATATGCTTGTTCTGTAATTATCAAATCAAATTTTATTGGCCACATGCGCCGAATACAACAGGTGCAGACATTACAGTGAAACGCTTACTTACAGCCCTTAACCAACAGTGCATTTATTTTTAATAAAAAAGTAAAATAAAACAAAAAAAAGTGTTGAGAAAAAAAGAGCAGAAGTAAAATAAAATAACAGTAGGGAGGCTATATATACAGGGGGGTACCGGTGCAGAGTCAATGTGCGGGGGCACCGGCTAGGTTGAGGTAGTTGAAGTAATATGTACATGTGGGTAGAGTTAAAGTGACTATGCATAAATAATTAACAGAGTAGCAGCAGCGTAAAAAGATAGGGTCGGGGTGGGGGGGCAGTGCAAATAGTCCGGGTAGCCATGATTAGCTGTTCAGGAGTCTTATGGCTTGGGGGTAGAAGCTGTTGAGAAGTCTTTTGGACCTAGACTTGGCTCTCCGGTACCGCTTGCCGTGCGGTAGCAGAGAGAACAGTCTATGACTAGGGCGGCTGGAGTCTTTGACAATTTTGAGGGCCTTCCTCTGAATTATGTAGCAAGATATTTTTTTAATTGAGTATGATTTTCATCATTCTGTTTTTGACCATAATAAGTTAACATGAGTGATGTCATTGTCAAAACATGTCTTCTTGGCAGATTGAAAATAAGGATTTGGCTGATAACTGATTTACTCTTGAGAGTAAGGTTATCAATCTACTCAGTGGTTGGCTAGTTCTTGGGTTGCCCGTTTACCTGCCGGTCTTATCTGAAAATTCATGTGAAAGGGACCTCCTCTTTACACAGAACCCTACATTCCAATGGTGGGTTGACTTCTCCTTATTTTAGGACACCCAGCTTGGCGAACCATGTTCCAGATGCCATGCTACAATCCCCATGGCCCCGGTGGAATCCTGCCACCTCAGGGCCCTGTAACTGGGGAGAAACTACTGGATGCCCCGGCCAATACGTGACGAGGGGCGGACCCTGGAAATTCAACAGCCCGTCTGTCCCGCTTTCTGCCTTGACCTCCCTGACCCTTCCCCACCCCCAATGTCCTGGAAGCCCCCCCCGCCATCTCTCAATATGGTCGCTCTCGCTCGCCCACCAGTAGCCTACTCCCTCTTCCTGTCAAATGGTACAGAATTCCTCACCATATTCGCTAGGTGTGATAGCCTTTTGATTGATAGGCATTTTCTGGTAACTCTGATCAATGTCGGAAGTGGGCAGATTGGTTGTGGCTTCAGTAACAAATATGAAGCTTTAAATTGATACAAGTGTCTTCGGTTAATTCAATCTCGATGTACACACTGCCCACCACCATCCAATAGCATATTCAGATCATGGCCAAATTCATTTGCAGACAGATTTTCTATAGACAAAATGCAACATCTTAATTGCCACTTTCCTATTTAGGTAGACAAGTGTAACAGGACCAGAGGTGACTCAGCAGTTTTGCCACCCATCGCAACTCTGGTCCAGTCGCCTTTCACACTGTGCTTGATAAATCCCTTACTCAGCATCTTTGGTGCGATTAGGCAGCCATTTTCCCACAGAAGCTTAAAAGGCTTCTCCATGCTAGAGCTTCCATCAATCCTTTGACGTGCAGCGGATTCTCTGGTGGACCTAGACTAGAGAATGGAAAACAGAGCAGAAAAGCATCTTTAGAAAATAGAATGATACTCACCAATTCTGTCAGATGCTCCACAAGGGTAAAAAAAAATACAGAAAACATACTGTACCTTACAGCTTCTTCAAGGGAAAGCCTTTCAGATCATGGGACACATACAAAACACCTGGCACAACCCAAAACACCTATTTCACCATACAGTGCTTTAAAATCAACGCATAGCAGACAAGTTCAGCAGTGTTCAAAGTGAAAATATCAGTATAAATGTTTTGTTTAGTTAACCTAATGCACTTGGGGGAGCCCAAGCAAATTCTTTGTATACATTATTTGTTGTAATTCACATGCTGTGTGTCTGAGGGAGCTATTCATAAATCGGGCTTGAGCATGTCTAGATATTCATTTTCACCATGCCTCAAGTATGACTTGGACTGTGTCGCCATCCAGTGGTACATCTTAGAATTACAGCACATCTTTACATAAGTGTAACAAAAGGGCATTTGCTCATATTTTATCTCAAGAGAACACATTTCAACGTCTATTCCTCGTACAAAAACAGAGTATTATTAATATAAACCACCAGTAACATTGGCCTCATCACACGGAGTATGACTGAATTAATCAAACATGATCCTCTTTGCCCGATACAGGAGCTAGTGTGGACGAAAGTAATCTATCAAAAAGGTCTCCAACTTTCTGCCCCTAAGTTAGCAGCTATGGCAATAAGAGATGGACCCAGGAGCAGTACAGTTAGAATCATCTTTTATTTACAGCAGAATCCTGACTGAATGGAGGGAAAGGAACAGGGGGGGTTAAAGGAGACAAACTGTTTAGATTCAGCTCATTAGGATTCATGTGTCACTAAACAGTTTTAAATATATATATTTTTTTTTATACAGAATCCATTCAGCTGTAATGTCAACGCAGCAAAAGAGCTAGAGCCCTCTGCTGCAAGGGAGGAGGAAAGAAAAGTATAAGATGGAAAACTAAGAAACCCCTAAAACATACAAACAAGGGGAGAAATAGAAAGCCATCTTCCATAAAAAAATGAAAACATCTGTATTTTTCTTCAATTATTCATCACTATGATCATCATCAGTTCTCTTTTCTTTGCCAAGTCCATAAAGAGGCAGAGAGGACAGGGATGGAGTTGTTGTGGTAACATACAGGTCCATGATGTTTAGGCTGTCCGACAGTGGTCTGTCCCACAGCCAGACAATGTCCAGGTAATGTATTAAGAGTGAAATTCGGGGCTAAACGAGTCTCAGATCTGCCAGGCGGCCTTTTGGGTCAGAACTGTTTAGTCCTCCAGACTTCTGGCCTATGTCCATGTAACTTTCCTCTCTGCAGCCTTGCTGGCAAAGCTTAATGCATTGGTTTGTGCCAGCAGTCTCTGCCCTGTTGCTGCAGTCTGAGGAATGACACACTGTACACTTGACATGCAAGGCCAGAGAACAAACATAAAAAACAGGTAAAAAATAAAACTCAAGACAGGAAGCCAGTAAACTGCATTTTCCATTCAAGTCTCTCTCTCCCTCCGACTGTTTTGCTCTCACAAACACTCTTTCACACGCACACACTTTAATTCCAGCATTGTTTAAGCTATGATCTAATTCACGGTTTCTCAAACTGGGTCCTGGGGCCCCCGTTTTGGTTTTTTGCCCTAGCACTACAGAGCTGATTCAAATAACCAACTCATCATCAAGCTTTGATTATTTCAATCAGCTGTGTTGTGCTAGGGAAAAAAACAAAACGTGCACCCAGAGGGGTTTGAGAAGCCCTGATCTAACTGACAAGCACCACAAAACTGTGGGAGGAATGACAATCCAAAAACATCCAATAACTGTTGGGATACCCAACCTTTGACAGTAAAACCTAGCTATGGGTTAGTTAACCTCTCAGGGTCCATTGATTACAATCCTTTATTGAGATAAATCCCTCTGAAGGGCGTAATAGAGATTTCCTCCCTCAAGGTCCATTACAGACTTTATAGAGGTAATTCTATAAGACCAGGCACACACACACAAACAGACACACCTCCAGGTGCAGCCACGGCACATGTCGAGGGTTAACTTTGTTTCCCCGATGTCCATTTTGTCACTCATGGGAGGGAATGTGTTCACAAGTAAACCACTCCTAGTGTGTCTAACCTTATAGAACCGAGCTGTGATCCAAGTAAGAGACCTGCCCAAAAAACGACCACAAGTTCTCATTGTCAACGTCTTTTATACCTGTCCTGGATCTAAAATCAAAAACATCATTCAATGGTTCATAATAATGAAATAACACAGTCTCACATACTATGCGCTCACACACACACACACACACACACCATGACACCCAAATACTTGTGTACACATTTATATATACAAAGAGAGATGCTTTCCCCCTCAATAGTAGGGACACATTCACAATTTATAATGCATAATTTCTGTATATGCCAAGAATAAAATATTTTCTAAATAAAATACCTGTATCTGTGATGGGGCAGCGAATGACGAAAGGTGAGCTTGTTAGAGAGGGGGAGGGTGTTGAGGAAAAAGAGGAGGCGTTCAGGGGACAGAGGGGTAGATGGAGGGCAGAGAGATGGATGGATGGAGGGAGCGACTGATGAACCGTTGCCGTTCCTTCTCGCTCTCCCGTAGGCTGCTGGTCCTGTGCACTGATGTCATTGTCCTGCGTAGTGGCAGCAACAGTTCTGCCTACTCTCCTATCCTCCTCTGCAGTTCATTCCAGAATAATAACAATAACTGTAATGGAGATGATGCTAAAAAAAAGCCTCAGTCACATCCCACACACAGTAGTCCATATAGGGGGAGGCCTGGCCTTGGAGTCCGGCAGAGACGGTGAGATACACAGATGAGGGGACGGAGGGGCGGTAGTAAAACAGAGACCAAGAGCAAAAGGAGAGAGGGAGAGGCCTGACAAAATGAAATGGACCATGGTAAGGGAGGGGGAGGTGGGTGAGGGATGGAAAAGTAGGGAAGCGAGAGAGAGGACAAAAATAGAAGTGTGAGAAGATAAGGAAAGAAAGGGAAGAGATGAGAGAGAGGAAAACAGGAAGCAATGAGGAGTTATGTCTGGCAATGAGGTCCACACACTGCTGTCCATATGTGAGGTCTGCTGCTCAGAGGATGGGTGGAAAGAATGAACTAGTGATGAGGAGGACGAGGCCTCTCTTCAGTGTGCAACTCTCCCGCTCGCTCCCTTTCTCTCAGGACAGGGGGTAGGGGTCCCTGGTCCTCCCCACGCTGGCTGTGTTCCCAGGGTGCATCATACCTCCAGGAAGCGGGAGCTGCTGGCCTTTGTGTGGAAAGGCTCTGACCACATACGCCGCAGGTCTCCCTGTAGGCCACACCACAGGGTTAGCTTCCCTGTAAGTACTAGTGGCTCAATTATTATCACACCACTCCTATCCTCAGCCACAGATATTACTCCTCTAGGCATACCACGTGTTAGACTGCCTTTACCAACTAGCCTAGCGGATTCCTTACCACATATTAGGCAGGGCAAACCCGTTTCAGTGATTTCTGGTATATCATAAATATAAATCAAATAGCAGCATGTTTTTGGACTCATTTAGCAGTTTTTACCTGATTAAGTACAATACCATTGGAAATGAATGTTGAAAGTTAAATTTATATTCCTAAAACTTGAAATGACAAGACATTTGGATAAATAGCCCAATGTCAAAACACAGTTTTAACATGGCCAAATCAATAACCAATATGCAGAAACAGTTAGTTATGAAAACCTAAAAATCTATACAATACATACATTTGCAATAATTGTAATTATATTACTTGTATTTTATTTTAAACGAGCACCTTATAAAAACAGCACGTGCACCAAAAACCCTGTTGTGGTAATAAATCATTGATATCGATTGCTGGGGGGGGATCCGATTGAATACTAACTAAAAGAACCAAAGGAAAAAAATGTAAATATCACTAGTTAGTGAGCAACCTTCAGAAGACAGCCAGCTACATTTTGGAGTGATGCATTTTGATTTGGGGTCGCCGAAGCGCAAAGAGAAACGCAACACTTATATTGACATCACGTTGAAATCAACTGCGAGAGAGGGGGGAGATGAGGTTGCACGTCCTGTTAAAACTAACATCTCAAAAACCATATGATAATGTGTACATCACTGGCTAGAGGAAAATTTGTAGAAGACAGATAGCTACATTCTGAAGTGTTTTTCCATTTACAATGAGAAGGGGGTGCGAGGGTGGGTGCTGTGTGATTATTTAAGATACTTTTCGAAGAGGTTGGGATTAAGATGTTTTCGGCAGATGGGTGGGTCTCTGCTGTTCCAGCTTCAGGGGAAAGCTGGTTCCACCATTGGGATGCCAAGACAGAGAAGAGCTTGGACTGGGCTGAGCGGGAGCTGCCCTCCCGTAGGGGTGGGAGGGCCAAGAGACCAGAGGTGGCAGAACAGAGTACTCAGGTTGAGGTGTAGGGTTTGAGCAGAGCCTGAAGGTTGGGAGGGGCAGTTCCTCTTGCTGCTCTGTAGGCAAGTACCATGGTCTTGTAGTGGATGTGAGCTTTGACTGGAAGCCAGTGGAGTGTGTGGCGGAGCTGGGTGACACAGGATAATTTGGGAAGGTTGAACACCAGGCATGCTACAGCGTTCTGGATAAGTTGTAGGGGTTTGATGGCACAAGTGGGGAGCCTAACCAACAGCGAGTTGCAGTAGTCCAGACGGGAGATGACAAGTACCTGGATTAGGATCTGCGCCACTTCATGTGTGAGGTAGGGTCATACTCTACGGAGGTTGTAGAGCATTAACCTGCAGGAGTGAGTCACTGCTTTGATGTTTTCAGAGAACGACAGGGTGTTGTCCAGGGGAGTTGTCAACCGTGATGGAGGTCTTGGAGTGGGCAGTCCTTCCCCGGGAGGAAGAGCAGCTCAGTCTTGTCGAGGTTGAGCTTGAGGTGGTGGGCCAACATCTAAGCTGAGATATCTGCCAGGCACACACCTGGGTGTCAGAAGGGGGGGAAGGAGAAAAGTAGTTGAGTGTCATCCGCATAGTAATGATAGGCGAGACCATCTGAGGCTATGACAGAGCCAAGTGACTTGGTGTATAGAGAGAAGAGGGCCTAGAACTGAGCCCTGGGGGACACCAGAAGTGATAGCACGTGGTGCAGACACAGATCTCTCCACGTCACCTGGTAGGAGGGGCCTGCCAGGTAGGGTGCAATCCAAGAGGGGCTGAGTGCCTAGGATTGGAGGAGAGGGAGACAGAAAAGGAAACAAAGTAGTGATCAGAGACCTGGAGGTGTTGCTGTGAGATTAGTAGGCGAACAGCCTCTAGTATTGCCTGCCTTGTGAGTGGGAGGGGACTGGGAAAGGATGAGGTCAAAAGAGGCAAGGAGGGGAAAGAAAGAGTTGGAAAGAAATTAATCGAAGGCCGACGTCAGGATGTTGAAGTCACCCAGTATGAAGAGCAATGAGCCATCGTCAGGAAATTAGCTTATCAAGTTGTCAAACTCATTAAGGAACTCTCCAAGGGCACCTGGTTGGCGATAGATGACAACCATGTTGAGCTTGAGTGGACAAGTGACAGTATATAATTCAAATGAGGAGATACAGGTGAGTGAGGGTGAAAAGAGAAAATCTCCACTTGAGTAGGTCTGTGCCACCACCGTGACGACCAGATGCTCTCCGACTATGAGAGAAAACGTAGTCAGATGAAGAGAGAGCAGCTGGAGTAGTAGTTCTCTGGGGTGATCCATGTCTCCGTCAGGGCCAAAAAGTCTAGGGACTGAAGGACAGCATAGGCTGAGATGAACTGCGTTCTTGACCGCCGATTGGCAGTTCCAAACTCTGCCAGAGACCAGGAATTCCACATGGGTTGTGCGCGCAGGGTACACTAAATTAGAAGGCTTGCAGCCTCCCCCAGGGAGAGGACCGAACTGGGATAGAAAACACACAGTTGCCAAAGCTACAAAAAAGCAAAATGAGATCTGAAAATAACTAGGTAAGATACCCAACTGAGAGAGTTGTGTGGAGCCTTCCTCTGCTTCATTCCTCAAATAACTTGGCAGAACCGTCATTGTTTCGGCGATGGTCTTAGTTTTGACGATGAGATCGCAGCTGACACTGATTACCAAAACCACAAAGGTTGCATTTTCATTGAAGTGGGACGCCAACCCGCTAAGTGTAACAACACTTTTTTTGTTAATCACTTCCATCGATATCACGCTGAAATCAATAGAACAGGGGGCAAATGTTTGGGGTGTAGCGCTGTTTAAAATAACAGTATTCAAAGGCCACACGGAAACTTGGAATAACCTATACATGGTTGGTTAGATGAGAACTTGTAGAAAGCTTATATCTATATTTTGGAATGGTGGATATTGATTTCGGGAGGCTGCCAACCAGAAAAAGGGAACAGACCACTTTTTCTGTTAGTTAACTTAAACGAATAAGACATCAACAGTCACAACGGTTGGCTTCTATTTAAGTAATAGTTTGACTGTCAAATCCATGTATTGGTGTGTGGTCAGCGACTTTTATAGAGACCGCCCCGAATTTTCCATGCCATTTCCTGGCCATTTCATTAACTCTGCGTTCTAAGTCCTGCACATCCCAGCATGTGTGACTAAATCAATGGTACAAAACCAAAGATGTTGATCTGTTTTTAGCAATCAATCTTATGTCATTGTGACGACTATAAACTTTTAAACTAACGTCACCAATCTGAGGTAAAAAGGATGTGTAATTCCACTAAATGTTATGGGGTGAAAATGCAGCGTGTGTAAGGTAGTAACAAACTGTCCACATTAGGGAAATTAGCACAATATACAATAATTGAATATGGCAAAATAATTATAGATGTCAATTTACGATGATATTATGTTGCCCACTAACAAAATACTGCAACAATGACATCTATTTATCACTAATTTAACCATTAAAACACAATTTAACCGGGCCCTCTAGACTAGAGCCTCCATAGTGTCTGTGCAGCAGGCTGAACGTTTGACGTCCCCAATAATATCCTCTACATCAACTTATGTCCTCATCCATTACCTCTGGTCACTGGCCTGGTATCCCATCTGCCTTGATCCTGGATTACTCCTCTAGGCCTCCTCTACCACTTAAACACTGCCTCTATCGGTTCATCTCAGGCCCGTCTCCCTCCCTCTAGGTCAGCATTCAGTCAAAACACATTTACACCAAACACTTGAGTCATATAAAATGATTCCCCAGCAGTCCTGCTGTTTTGTCTGATCTCTTAACTTACTTATATGACTGACTCCATCATATTATCTCCCAGCCCATCACGCCCCTCTCCCCCTTATCAAGCCTCCCCATATGTACCTTCAGGTAGGCCATGGTGAGTAGAGGCAGCAGGGTGAAGGGCACCAAGTAGAGCAGGGCAGGCTGAGCCGCACGGTGGATCCTGGAGGCCACAGTGGCAGTCAGCAGGCCTGGAGGGAACAGAGACAGGTCAGAAACACTCCAGTCAAACTTCCAGGGGTTAAAGCAAAAAAAAGTTCACCTCCCCTTTAATGCAAGAAAGTCATGACCATTATGTTTTATGGGAAAGAGGGTCATTTTGTACATGTATTAAACTGCGTGTACGGCCAATTCCAGTCACCTTGCTTAGGGGGTCCGGGGGCCTCCACGGGATAATTTTTTATATCGAAGGACTGAGGAGCCCAGTTCTGGTGACCTCTTAAAAGCCCCAAAACATACTGGTAAAAAATGTAGTCAAAATAATTGTAACATATTGGACCATGCATATAGCCCAGTGTTTCCCAACCCTGGTCCTCGAGTACCCCCAACAGTACACATTTGTATTGTAATCCTGGAAACCACACCTGATTCAACTTGTCAACTAATCATCAAGCCTTCAATGAGTTGAATGAGGCGTGGTCTATTGTCAGATGTGCTATTAGCAATAAGCATCCTCACCTGTAGCCCAACCGATGAAGCATAGTGGCTACAAAATTGTACATAGGCTGAAGCATGGGGTTTGTCAATCCTGATTGTTGTTGTTATTATTATTATTATTATTAATTATTTTATTATAAATACATATAAATAATTACTAAATAATAGTTTTTTTTATTACAAAGCATGTCATTGCCCTTTTAAGACTCCATTGCCCCCTTTGAGCCGTGTAGCGTAGCGATGGGCATTCTGAGTCTTTTCTGTGAGCTGGATCATTTGGCTCCGTTCACCTAAAAGAGCCGTACGTTTGGCTCCCAAACGGCTCTTCGTTCAGTAATGCTTAGAAATTGACCTAAAACCATGAAAAAAAAAAAGTATTTTAAAGCCTAAAATATTGCCTACCACGTCAGATGGTGAAATGTGAGTTTAGATACATTTTTATCTGACCAAATTATTAGACAGCCTGCGAAAAAATAAAAAAGAATGTACGCACTGAAAAAAAATAGCGTGGACTAGAATGAGGCTCTCTCCTCACTATATTGTTCCTGCACTGAGGAATTACCATCTTCAGAGAATGTTTTTATAATTTATCTGCAGATAATTGATGTATGGAGGCCAAAAAGCAATAGAAACAGTATGCAAATCAAGGAGCCAAATGAACATGTCTCTCACATATGCGATTCGGTTCCCGACGTTCACCATAAAGAGCCGTTCAAAAAGAGCCAATCATTCGCGAACGACTCATCACTACTGTTGCGCAGCTGCTCCTAAACCATGCTTGAAACGCTGGTTGGAACTGCATTTGTAAAACGATGCCACTCGTGCAATTGAAAGTCTAATAATATTGAAGGAGTAATTAAGAAATAGTGGTAGCAATGGAAAATTGGGACCCCCCTCTTTTTTACTAAAGGCCAAAACAGTGTTCAAAAGTATTTTTGCAGTAAGTATTGTTGTGCATTGACTGCTTGTCAGAATACATGTCTCCCTCCCTATGACTCTTGCAACTTGAATGCGCCTTGAGAGGAATATTTATCTTGCATAGAACACACAACAAGCCGACTAGGTAAATAGGTAAACTATTCTATGGTGTTGCCTGATTTTGTTCTAGTAACAACATTACATGGTAAAAGTAGTAGCACTGGAAAGTTGCATCCACACCTGAATGATAAAGTATAGGCTTTGAATGACTGACAGCAGCTACAGTAGGCTGTTTGAGTTGAGTGCCGCGATGGTGCGCATGATATACTATTTAATTCCCTTAATCTGAACATCTGAGTGTCAGCAACAATCATGCATGTCAGTTCAGTGCACACAGCTTAACAAAAAAATTAAATAAATGAGATTTCATTTATTTGGGATAATAAACTGGGTGGTTCGAGCCCTGAATGGTGATTGGCTGAAAGCCGTGCTATATCAGACAATATACCACTGGTATGAAAAACATTTATTTTTACTGCTCTAATTACGTTGGTAACCAATTTCTAATAGCAATAAGGCACCTCAGGTGGTTGTGGTATATTTCCAATATACCACAGCTAACGGCTGTTTCCTTAGCCGTGGTATATTGGACATATACCACACCCCCTCTGGCCTGTGTGTACAAAACATTAGGAACACTTTCCTAATATTGAGTTGCACCCCTTTTGCCTTCAGAACTGCCTCGAAATCTTCAGGGCATGGCTCAATTGCTCTCATCCCACAGATGCTAAATTGGATTAAGATCTGGTGACCGGGCAGGCCACTGCAGTAAACTGAATTCAATGTCATGTTCGTGGAACCATTCCTGGACAATCCTAACCTTGTGGCATGGAGCATTATGCTGAAAAAAATCTATTCGCAGATGGATACACTGCTGCCATTACATTTTAGTCATTTAGCAGACGCTCTTATCCAGAGCGACTTACAGTTAGTGAGTGCATACATTTTCATCAATGCATCTGATTAGCAATGTTGTTCCGATATCCTGTGGCATTCAAACGTTGCTCCACTTTTATCAAGGGGCCCAATGTGTGCCATGAAAACACACCCCACACCATCACCACCAGCCTGCAGTGTCGACACGCGGCATGATGGATACATGTACTCATGTGGTTCTCCATACCATACAAACTATCACGGATTACAAAGGGAAACCTAACTGCCCAGTGACGGGAGCCTACCAGAAGAGCTAAATGCCTTATGCTTGCATCGAGGCAAGCAACAGTGAACCATGCATGAGAGCACCATCTGTTCCAGACGACTGAGTGACCACGCTCTCCATAGCCTATGCGAGTAAGACCGTTAAACTGGTTAACACTCACAAGGCCGCAGGGCCAGACGGACTACCAGGACTCCTACTCAGAGCATTCGCTGACCAGCTGGCAAGTGTCTTCACTGACATTTTCAACCTCTTCCTGACCCAGTCTGTAATAACTACATGTTTCAAGCAGACCACCATAGTCCCTGGGCCAAGAATGCCAAGGTAACATACCTAAATGACTACCGCTCCGTAGCCATGAAATGCTTTGAAAGGCTGGTCACTCCACACTGCCCTTTCCCACCTGGACAAAAATAACACCTACGTGAGAATGCTGTTCGTTGACTACAGCTCAGCGTTCAACACCATAGTGCCCAAGCTCATCACTAAGCTAAGGACCCTGGGACTGAACACCTCCCTCTGCAACTGGATCTTGGACTTCCTGATGGGCTGCCCCCAGGTGGTGAGGGTAGGTAACACATCCGCCACGCTGACCCTCAACACGGGGGCCCCTCAGGAGTGAGTGCTTAGTCTCCACGACTCCAACACCATCATTAAGTTTGCCGACGACACGACAGCGGTAGCCCTGATCACCGACGACGAGAGAACCAATAGGGAGGAGGTTAGACACCTGGCAGTGTGGTGCCAGGACAACAACCTCTCCCTCAACGTGAGCAAGACAAAAGAGCTGATCGTGGACTACAGGAAAAGGCGACCACGCCCCCATTCACATCGACAGGGCTGTAGTAGAGCAGGTCGAGAGCTTCAAGTTCCTTGGTGTCCACATCACTAAGGAGCTATCATGGTCCAAACACACCAAAACAGTTGTGAAGAGGGCACGAAAACGCCTATTCCTCAGGAGGCTGAAAAGATTTGGCATGGGACCTCAGATCCTCAAAAAGTTCTACAGCTGCACCATCGAGAGCATCCTGACTGCTTGCACCCCTGCTTGGTATGGGAACAGAGGGTAGTGTACGGCCCAGTACATCACTGGGGCTGAGCGTCCTGCCATCCAGGACCTCTATACCATGCGGTGTCAGAGGAAGGCCCTAAAAATAGTCAAAGACTCCAGCCACCCAAGTCATATACTGTTGTCTCTGCTACCGCACGGCAATCAGTCCTGGAGAGCCTGGGACCAAAAGGCTCCTTAACAGCTTCTACCCCACAAGCCATAAGACTGCTGAACAGTTAATCAAATGGCTACACGGACTATTTGCATTGACCTCCTTATTTGATTATTATTTTTGCACTGACTCTTGCACAGGCTCGATACACTCACTGGGCTAATCACACACTGACACCATCACACACATGCATATTGACCACACACACGCTGCTGCTACTCTATTATCTACGCATCGTCAGCTTTACATTGACTCGGTACCAGTACCTCTAATATATAGCCTTGTTATTGTCATTTTATTGTGGTAAAATTGTTCCTTTATTTTATTTAGCTAATCTTAAAATAATAACTGCATTGTTGGTTAAGGGCTCGTAAGTATGCACTTCACGGTTAGGTCTACACCTGTTATATACAGCGCATGTGACAACTTAAATTTGATACCCCTTCTCCAGTGTTTTCCTTCCTATGCCCACTGCAAACGTAGCTTCTTGTTTTTTGCTGAAAGAAGTGGAACTCCGTAAGGTCGTCGGTTGCCATACCCCATTTGTTTCAAAGTACGACGAGTTGTGCATTCCTTTATGGGTCTTTGGGCACCAATGTTGTACTGAACTGTCAGTTGAATAATTCTAGCCCGTCTGTTGCTCTGCACAATTCGTGTCAGCCTCCTCTGTCCTCTCATCAATGACCCGTTTTCGACCACTGGCTGGATGTCTTTTGGGTGGTGGACCATTCTTGATACACACGTGAAAGTAGAAAGAGGAGGAAAGGAAGCGCTACTAAGGTACACAATAGTAAATGTTGGTAGACAGAAGGTGTTCTTTGGTCAAAGGGGTGAATTGGTCATCAAAAAGAAAGGACCAAGGCACTCTTCATATAATTAATTAAAATGCCTTTATTACTATGGCATGTTCAATAGAAACAAGATTTTTAAAAAATCTGACGCGTTTCGGCTGCATGGCCTTCGTCAGGGAGTAACAAAGAAATAATACAATGTCCTCTTTTGAACAGCTTTTCCAATTAGCCCTAATTTGAAGAGGGAGTGGTTACAAAGTTGATTGGACACACCTAGTAAGCAATACTATACACATTAAAAAGTGAAATACTGTAAATATGTTATCATACAAATACAACTCCAAGTCAGAAGTATCAGAACACTTAGAAAGGTAGTTCTAACCTTAAATATGACTGGGAAAAGTGTCAAAAATAAGAAAGCAATATATTCCATAGTACACTAGAAACCAGCAAAACATGAACAACAACAGTCTTAGGATTGCTTGAGCCTCAGTAGATGACTCCTCCATCTGTGTCTGTCCTGCAGGTGTTCTTCTCGGCCTACATCTTCAACAGCAACGTGATGGTGAAGGTGGCCACCCAGCCGGCTGACAACCCCTTAGACGTGCTGTCCAGGAAGCTCCACCTGGGCCCTGGGATGGGCCGTGACGTCCCACGCTTGTCTTTAAGGTTAGAACTACCTTTCTAAGTGTTCTGATACTTCTAACTTGGAGTTGTATTTGTATGATAACATAGTTACAGTATTTAACTTTTTATTGTGTATAGTATTGCTTACTAGGTGTGTCCAATCAACTTTGTAACCACTCCCTCTTCAAATTAGGGCTAATTGGAAAAGCTGTTCAAAAGAGGACATTGTATTATTTCTTTGTACTCCCTGACGAAGGCCATGCAGCCGAAACGCGTAAGATTAAAAAAAAATATCTTGTTTCTATTGAACATGCCATACTAATAAAGGCATTTTAATGAATTATATGAAGAGTGCCTTGGTCCTCCTTTCTTTTTGACACACGGGAAAGTGTTGAGCGTGAAAAACCCAGCAGCGTCGCAGTTCTTGACACACTCAAACCGGTGCGCCTGGCACCTACTACCATACCCCATTCAAAGGCACTTAAATATTTTGTCTTGCCTATTCACCCTCTGAATGGCACACATACACAATCCATGTCTCAATTGTCTCAAGGCTTAAAAATCCTTCTTTAACCCGTCTCCTCCCCTTCATCTACACTGATTTAAGTGGATTTAACAGGTGACATCAATAAGGGATCATAGCTTTCACCCGGATTTACCTGGTCGGTCTATGCCATGGAAAGAGTGGGTGTTCCTAGTGTTTTGTACACTCAGTGTATTTCGTAGAACAGACATACTTCTGTATTAGGCTATATCATCTCCAAACCAGTGGTTGTGTTACATCAGGGCAGCCCAACCATGTTCCTGGAGAGCTACTGTCCTGTAGGTTATATAACACACCTGATTCTAATAATTAACTGGTTGATGAGATGAATCAGGTTAGTTACTACTAGGGCTGGGGATATGGCCTAAATCTCATATCACAATATTTTTCACATTTGATGTTTTGAATAATAAAGTTCAAAATATGCTTAGGTTATAAATATGAATAGTTCAGGACCCTAGGGTGGCAACTAAAATGATAAGTGATTTCAAATGAGGCAATCTCCATCTCCACTCCATTCTCCAAGCGGCATGCAGGAAGCCAGGGACACAGACGAGTAAACTATAAAAATGGACATTACACTCGTCGGTGTTGCGTATCACATTTAACAAACCAAACATTGAAATACCATTATAGAAGGTTAAGTAAAAAAACTAACCGGTCCATGCATTAATACCGGTATATAGTAAAATGCAGTATACCGCCCAGCCCTAGTTACTACTCGGGTTGGAGCGAAAACCGGGTTGGGCAGCCCTGTGTTGCATGATGGTCCAGCCTGCCGCTCTCGCTTCTCCACTCTGTTCTTACCCACAAAGTATCCGATGAGAGTGCAGTGGAAGTAGGAGACGCGCCCCATGCGTCCCGGCGTGCCTGGACTCCCCGCCTCCCCGTTGGCCTGCTTCTTGTAGTTGTCGTAGCGCAGCACGAAGCACAGCAGTAGCCCCGGCATCACTATGTCCCCGATCCCCAGCATGGAGAAGTGACTGCCTGTGGAACTGGAGGGAGAGAGGAGAGAGGGATGAGATAAGGAAAAAGGACGGGAGGGGAGAGGTGGATGAAATATAGGGAGAAAAGAAGAGGGGGGGGAGGATGCAAAGAGAGGAGGAAGAGGAGAGGGAATAATAAGGAGATGAATCGTGGGTTGTATCATAGCAGGAGGGAATAAAGCAGGAGAGCGAGGCAGGGTGGGAAAAGGCAAGAGAAGAGGAAATACAAGCGCGAGTTTCAGCGCTTATAACACCGGCAGAGGTTAATCAATACAGCTCTAGTGAATGGAGCTGGAGGTTTACACATAGGTCCAGCGATCCACCCCCCAAGGTCAGTCTATGGTACCTGGGGAAAACCAGCTTGCCAGGCAGCGACAAGCGTGGGACGTCACGGCCCATCCCAGGGCCCAGGTGGAGCTTCCTGGACAGCACGTCTAAGGGGTTGTCAGCCGGCTGGGTGGCCACCTTCACCATCACGTTGCTGTTGAAGATGTAGGCCGAGAAGAACACCTGCAGGACAGACACAGATGGAGGAGTCATCTACTGAGGCTCAAGCAATCCTAAGAAATAGCCACTGTTTGTAGTTCTGTCTTACACGTCGTTTAAGCACGACAAATGTTATCGAAGAACAGAGATGGCCTTTTAGGCTCTACCATAGTGTACATTGGAGATAACCAGAAACGTCTACTGTCCTGTTAGCATGGAAATGTCAGTCTATGCCATTCTGCTCTATCCCTTGTTCTGCTCTGTCAACCTTAATTAACCTAAGATATCTGGAACAGTGGAACTCTGTACCTTGTCTTCGCACATACAGTAAGCCACTTTGACATTGTCTACAGCAGGGGTGTCAAACTCATTTTGCCCCGGGGGCCGCTTTTGGGGATTGGGGTTGCCACACACAAAAAAATTTTTTAATATACATTTCCTCGCCGTCAAAACATGCTAAAAATAGTCCTCTATCTATAGTTTTATTTTGAATTATACTTTACCAGGTTAGTCTCATTGAAATTAACAACCTATTTTACAAGAGAAACCTGGCCAAAATAGCACACAAAGTTGCAGACACATTTACAACAAACACAAAGCACTACAGTTTTAAAAAACATACATTTACACATTGAACAGCAAGATGGATTGGGAAAGTGTGGTGCAACTAGGGGTCAAAACATTGACAGCTCCCCACTTCATTTTCCATTATAGTGTTTTGGAATTTGGATTGGCTTGGACCCCCTTGCGGGCCGGATTACTCATGGCCCTGCCTGTGTTTTAGCGGTCGTATTTGGGTCAACTGGGTGGCGGTGGGGTGAAGGGAGGGGAGCGGCTCTCTTACCCAGAACACGTCATAGATGAGCAGCCCTGACAGCAGCAGGCAAGACACCTTTAGACTCGGCAGCCGCACAAACGCTATCATGGCCACACACAGCCCCATGGCTAGAGCTGAGGAGAGAGAGACAGAGGAATATCAGACATACGAACACACACATGGAGGGAGGGGGAGAGAGGGAAAGAAATGCGTACGCACACAGATCTGAGAGAGACAGAGGAACCAAACCTTTATGAACACACACACGATGCTCAGAGAGTGCGCGAGAGATGCACACACACACAGTGATGGGAGAGAGAGGAATCAGACATATGAACTAGAGGTCTTCAAGGGTCCAAAAACTTGGACCCGTTCCGAAATGGATCTGTGGCTTTCCCACCCGACCGAATATGCAGAAATAAAAAATGTTTTAAAGGGAGACCGTTCCCAATGGACCCAAGGACAGTCAGACCCATTCCGAAAAGGGCCGTTGAAAACAGACCCAAACAGACCCGTGCTGGTTTGGCTCAGAGACCTGTTCAGATCCGAAAGTAGAGCGAGAAAGAAAACTCCAACTGGGCGCTGCCAGCCAGTGGTGGAAAAAGTACCCAATTGTCATACTTGAGTAAAATATACCTTAATAGGAAATGACTCAAGTAAGTGAAAGTCACCCAGTAAAATACTACTTGAGTAAAAGTCTAAAAGTATTTGGTTTTAAATATACTTAAGTATCAAAAGTAAATGTAATTGCAAAAATGTACTTTAGTATCAAAAGTAAAAGTATAAATCATTTCAAATTCCTTATATTATGCAAACCAGTTGGCACAATTGTTCGTGTTTTTTAAATTTGCGAATAGCCAGGGGCCACACTCCAACCCTCAGACATCATTCAGAAACAAAGCATTTGTGTTTAGTGAGTCCGCCAGATCAGAGGTAGTAGAGATGACCAGGGATGTGCTCTTGATAAGTGTGTGAATTTGACAATTTCTGTCCTGCTATGCATTCAAAATGTAACGAGTACTTTTGGGTGTCAGGGAAAATGTATGGAGTAAAAAGTACATTATTTTCTTTATGACTGTAGTGAAGTAAAAGTAGTCAAAAATATAAATAGTAAAGTACAGATACCCAAAAAAAACTACTTAAGTACTTTACACCACTGCTGCCAGCGGCATCTTCAAAAAAGCGATATTGGCCAAATTATCCACAGTTACGTGCCCTTAACAACTGCCTATAACAAATTACAAAAAAAACTATTTGTTGTGTTTCGATGTGTAGCATATTCAAAACTTTAGTCTATTGTTTTATTGGTTTTTACTTCCCCAAAACAAAATTGTCTACCTCAGGTTCAGCTGTCGGAGGTTAAAGTGCTAAATGCATCAAGGCATTGCATGCATATAGGCCTATACGTCCAATGTATGATATTCATATTTAAAAATATATATATTAAGGGAGACAAGCTTAGACCTAGCGAAAAATTGAGATATGCCGGCACCATGTTCGCGACATGGATTTCTTTATATTTGTCAGATAGGCCACTACGGCTATACAGATATAGGCGTACAGAAGGAGGCTAATTCGTAACATTTCTATCAGAATAATTTTTAGAACGATAAGCATTATATTGTTATGGAGCAACTCTGGTAAGCCTAAAACAGTCTTCCTCACCTTAAGTTCAACTGTCGGAGTGCTGGTGCGCACTGCCTTCATAGGCCTGCAGTAGCTAAGCCTAATAATAGCCATTCCACACCAAACCTTCACAAAAGTTGCTTAACTTTATTAGGGTAATATCAAAAGTAAGTAAAGTCATTTATAAGAAAAATACAAACAGGTTATCATATTGCGGCATTAAATTAAGTTTCGCATCTTGCCCTCTTTGGTTTTTATTTTTCATGGTTTGAGTGCGAGTAGCATAGTAGGCCTACCAGTAATACCACTACATTGCAGCTGGAACTTCATTTGGCCAACAGAAATGGCTCAAGAGAATGAAACATTCAAAAAAGTTTTGAACAGGCTAGGCCTAAAGCAGCTATTACCAACAAAGGTGATTGCCTACCGTAGTCCTACCCAACAAATGACAGCAATAGGTTAATGCTATTTATTTTACAATAGGGCTACTTTTAACATTTACATTTTTGTCATTTAGCCTTAAACTAAATACGGAGCACAACATTAAAAATAACTTAATTTAGCCAACAAAAATGTCTCAATAAAATAAAACATAACACTTTTTGCATAAGCTATTTAAAGAACTGGTTTCAATTATTAATAGGCCTATAATAATACTGATTAATAATAATAATAATAATAATAATAATAATAATAATAATAACTACACAATTGATAGAATACGAAAATAAATAAATGAAAGGTAGAAAATTGCATCAAACCTAAATAGCACACAGTCCATTTGGCCACGCCAACGTTCTTCGCATCTTTGTCCACTACAATATTAAAACTGGTCCCCGAGGACATTCCCCCTGTCGGCTTCTTTTCACTATACCCTTCCTCCTCTTAACTTTCGTTTTTACTCCATCTTCGCAATCAACAGTAGCCTAGACTGACGCTTTGAACACACCAACTGCGTCATTGCGCAAAATAGTACGCAGCATCATCTAGATGTGTGTGCAACAAAAGTTCAACATTCACCTTCTGCTACCATCTGTCAACCCGTTTACGCATACAGTTTGACACATACGTTCGATAAATCCAACGTATGCACCACACAGAACACACTGCAACTGCCTCTGCAATGCAATGCTGCAAGGAAAAAAAGGCTAAAAAAAATAATAATATATATAAAATTTAAAAAGGAAATGAATGTACTTCTGGTGTACCAAAACGCAATGATGCAGTCGGTGTGATCGAAGCGTAAGGCTCATTTTACTCACTCTCTCTCACCTTCTCAGCAGCAGGCGCACGTGAGATGAGCAGCCGGAACCAGTTTCAGCTGGACATAAGCTAGAAGTTTTATTGAGTTGCAATTAGCTGACTCAGATAACAAGGTTGCGCAGTTCTCATCACACCAACACTAAATTAACAGAGGACAGGTCCAATCAGGTCCAGTCGGTGAATCAATTTTAATTGCACATACTCAAGACACGTGGCAATTATATCAGACCCAACCCAGTCAGAATTTAGGACCTGGGCCCGTTGGACCCATGAAGACCTCTAATATGAACACATGCAGCTCAAAAACACATTTAATGGAGCTTGGAGAGTGAGACACACGAGCTGAGATAGAGAAACTAAAGAAAGGCAACGGCAAGACGTATGGAAAAACCAATAATCTGACACGCGCCGTTTACACCCCCCACACACACACACACGTACAAAAGGCAGTCATGACACACTGACATACCGTCCATGAGCAGCCAGTGTCCAGTCAGCACCCAGATCAGCACCAGCATGACAGAGAGGGAGAAGGCGAGGAGCTCGGCCAGAGTGAAGCGCCCACAGCAGCCAAACGAGATCCTACAGGGGGGAGGAGAGGGAGAGAGATGGTTTATACACACTGGACAAAACACAATCTCTTCACTGGAAAATACATGATCTTCTCTAAACGCAAGTCGATATGTACGGGGTCAAATGTGTAGATACAGAAGAAATTGACTCAAAATGTGTTCAACACACAAGGGGGTCTAGGTTAAGAATTCAGATAAAGGCCAGATGCTTCACACAGTCAAACAAAAAAGGGGAATTAAAAAGAGTTGTGACATTATTGGATAGTTGGCTATGGTAGTCTCTCAGTTTGACATGTGGACCAACATGATACTATGCATCTCTAACATCCTATTGATGAGCCTGAGGACGGAAGTCAGTGAATCAGTTGTGTCTCTGGAGTGAAGAGGCTCATTAGCATATGCTGCGGAACCATTATTGGTATTTTGCTATTGTTGGTGCAAAAGTGCTCACAGACCAATATGTATACACCGATTCACATGGCATTTATTTGTGAGAGTGAGTGAGTGAGTGAGTGAGTGAGTGAGTGAGTGAGTGAGTGAGTGAGTGAGTGAGAGAGAGAGAGAAATAGAGCAGGAGAGAGAGAGATGGACAAATAAACTCCCTTACTTGTTTTGTGGGGAGCAGGGTCTGGTCAAGTACTGGCACATTGGCAACAGGAGGAATGCAAATGCAATTGTCGCAAGAACTGAGGAGGAATAAAAAAAGAGGGAGTTAGATAAGTGAACGAGACACAAAGTAATCGAAACCAGACAGTTTCAGTCCATTGGTTTCCAGTCAGTTTAACAGAGTCATAGTCATTATCATCTCACCCATAAGCATTATGCAGAGAAAATGTTTTTTTCAAATCAATGCATGATGATCTGCATTTTGCCTAACTGCACGACTAATATATCATGCTCTAAGGAAACAACTAAATTCATGTCTGCTTGCCTTTAGACAAGAAATTGCTCTGGGACATTATGGCGCGTGTGTGTGTGTGTGTGTGTGTGTGTGTGTGTGACGGGTCAGGTACCTGCGGTGCAAATGGTGAAAACCACCTGGACAGAGTCGAAGAAGAAGAACATGACGAGCAGAGACACGGAGGCTCCTATGGGCAGGAACAGAGCCTGCGTGGAGTCTATGGTCTGAATACCTGCAAGACAACACAATACATGCACAAGTGAGAATGCTCAAACACACAGAGATAGACACACACAATCACTATCACACACATATAGGCAGAGACACAGGCATACACATTTCTGCATGTGCTGCATCTATAGCCTTGGTAACAGCAAACAAACCAACCACTAAATATATGGAATCCATGGTATGACGACTTCCAACTTGTAAACAGAAAAGAAAAACACACGCTCTGTATGTCTTATGTCTCACCAAATATGTGAGACTCACTGTTGTTTGTGTTGCCATTGTTGAAGGCCCCATTTGGGACTGGGTTACCATCCTTATCTTTCTCCTGGTTCTCACAGTCCATGTTTAATGATCTGCACAGGGAGAGATGGAGGGACAGAGAGGGAAAGGTGGAAAGAAAGGTTGACTATCTGAAATAAATCAAGCTTCTCCCACTGACAGAATAGCAAAGGATTGTTTTAAAAAGAGTTGATAGCTCAACATAGGTGTTCAGTGCTTACTGTAACGGAAGTAACATGATAAAGAAGATGAGACCCATAGTGAAAAGTGTTGGCCTATCTGTGATGTAAGCGGGTTGGACAGGATAGACTCACCTGAAGCTGCCATAGACAATGAGGAGGATGGAGATGAGGAAAGTGGACACCTGGCTGGAGTCGACGAGGGAGTACGCCCTATAGACATAGAGCAAGAGAGATTTCAGATGATCATCCATTTCCTCCACAGAATATATTACAGAGTAGCCCATAGTATACTTTCAGTGTTGCATATGTCAACAAAGTTGTATTAATAACATGGCTAACTTGGCTACATTTCGAGTAAACAAGTTACATTAAGTGGGTAGCTAGCTAGCGTTAGCAACGTTTGGTGGTCAATGAGACTGAGGGCTAGCTAACCAGCTGAGCTAGCAAACAATGTAACAAAAGTATAATTTCGGATTCGAAAAATACTCCATCAACAGGCTTTGCATTTCAGGAATCACAGTAGCAAGTACTCCTGGTGCACTGTTAAATTATTTAGGCATTTAAACGATGTATTATTTTGGAGAAAACTCCGTTTCCTACTGCCCTTTGTTTAAATTACTATAGCGGCCACAAACAGCCTTGTTTTTCTAACAATAATATCTGTGTCAATATCGCAAAATTAACTTGCTAACAACCTGTTGTGGTATTCGCGTGGCTGTTGTCATCAACCAGAAACAGTGTATGCGGTCATTTTACTTTCAACGTTTTTAAACTTCATTACTCAAAATGACGGCGCCGAAGTGGACACATCATTGCACTTTGAAAAGCAATGACGTCGAAGTGAGTGAAATCAGTGGCGAGCACATCAGCGGAGGAGCACGAATGATTGCTCTGTCACATGGAAATAGCTGACTTTATACAGCTAAACACTGCGACTAACTAGTTGGTGTTTTGTCTTGTTTCTACCAATGTAATTAATATGGAAAACGGCCCAAGATGCTTGCTATAGCTAGCTAGCTAACTGGTTAGTCTGTCAGGCAAGTTAGAGGTACATTTGGGCTGCGCTCACAAAGCGTCAACCTCAGCTGTCACTTTCACTAGCCAGCCATACAGACAACCAGCTAACTAGCCACCGAAATGAAGGCTAGAGTAATTCGTGTTTATCTGTTGGGCTTGGGTTATGGTTTGTCATGTTTGCTAGGTGCATTTATTTATAGGCTATACATTGCCTCGTTTTCCTATTATTTGATTACAGTAGTAGATGCCCGCGCTGTGGAGCTCATATGATGAGTTAGATATTTGTTTACATAGCCAGCTAACAAGTTACTTGTTCTGTCCTGTTTCTACCGATGCAATTCTTTTGGAAACTGTCCCAGCTTCGTAACTAATCAGCTAACATTGGCTAACTCTGTAGTTAGTCTGTCAGGCAAGAAAGCAGGGAGAATGTGTGTGGAATGGGAGGCGTATAACTATCACACAATTTATTACGGAAACCCCTTATTAGGAAGACAGTGTGTGTGTGTGTGTGGTTGAGAAAAAGAAAGAGGAAGGATGAGAGAAGGTGTGAGAGGGAAAGAGGGATTATGTTCCTGACTACAATTGTATCCCATCTGTTGCTCCTCTCCCTCTGTTACTCTGTTCCTCTAGGTCACATATGTCAGAGTCAAGGCCCGCGGGCCACATCCGGCCCGCGAGAAGGTTTTTTACGGCCCCTGGGATGATCTTGATTTATTATTAGAACCGGCCCGCAGACCGCAGCAAGCCGGCAGCCCGCAGATCTTTTACACGCACCAATACTACATTTCCCACAATGCAACGGTGACGCACCGAGCAGTAGGCTGCTTCATTTCAATATTTATTGGCACAGCAGTCGTCAGCATCACAGTAAAATTAACTTTCAGATACCCATCAAAAATGGCAAAACGGAAGGTGGACACTGAGAACCGGGGGTTTCAAACAAGGTGGGAGTCGGAGTATATGTTCACGGAGGTAGCTGGAAAACCTGTGTGTCTTCTGTGTGGAGAAAGTGTGGCGGTACTGAAAGAGTATAATCTGAGACGACATTATGAAACGAAACACGCGGACAAAAACAAGAATATGGACATGGAACAAATGCCCCAGCTGCGCATCCAGGCTGCTCAAACGTTGTCTATGTTTGGCAGCACATACCTGTGTGAACAACTGTTTTCTTTGATGAACCTGAACAAAACATCACACAGAAGTCGACTTACTGCTGAACACCTCCACTCAATTCTGAGGATTTCCTCAGCTCAGAGCCTTACCCCGAACATTGATGAACTTGTGGAAAAGATGGGACACCACCAAGTATCACCCTCAACCTCAAACAAGTGAACATTACTGTGCAATCACATATTTAGAGTTTTTACTCAGTTCAAGTTTAAAAGTTAAAGTTTAATATTTGTTTTCACTGCATGTTACTTCTCCTTAAACAAAGTGTTGTTTTTGATTAATAGATTTTTGCACTTTATTTTATTGTATTTCAATCCAATTATATTTTAAAAATATTTCAGTTGAGTGGATGATAGAAAATTGCTATTATTGTTTTTTTCTTTGAAGTAAATTTAGCCCACTTTTGCTAAAATAGAAAATATAGGCTACTGATGGTGCCTTGAATACCGGTTTCTTTCATTTAATGTTCATGTTATGGGGATTTTTATATAAAGGAAATTTGTCTTTTGTGTCTGTTGAAAATTAAAGATTACTGACAGAGCCATAAGAAAATATTGCTTTATTTATCTGATCATATTGGAATATATTTGTTAGGTTTTCAGTAGGTTCAATTAGGTTCACTAGACTATATGCGTCATTTAAAAATTTTTCAATGAACATTCGAACAGTCCGGCCCTCGGCTTGTAGCTAAATTTTTTATTTGGCCCTCCGTCCATTTGACTTTGACACCCCTGCTCTAGGTCAATGAAAGTGAAGGAAGTGATATGGAGTCAGGGCTCAGCAGCAAAAAGGCAGGGAGGAAGAGGAGTTCTAAATTATTGGAGGGATAGAGATGTGGAGCGAGAGGAGAGTGGAGGGAGAGGAAGAGGAGAATGAAGAGGAGGGACAGGAACGTTGAGAGGGAGACAATGAGGAAGAAGCAGAGGGAGAGGACAAAGCAGAGGGAGGGGAAGAGTGAGAGCACACCTGAGAGGGAAGCCTACGTTTCCATGGAGTGTCTGCCCCAAGTCCCACCATTCACCCTTGTGCCACACAGCCTGGGCCTAAAGTGACAGTGGCAGGGGTTTTGGAGTCGTTTTTAAGTGGTAGGAACTTATGTTCTAGAGCTTGTAATGGATTACACCAAGAGAATGGGCGGGGTTGACCATCTTGAACAACTGTTACAAATGTTGGACGCACAGGCAGAAAATGGTGGAAGTATGTGTTTTGGGGTATGCTCAACATTGCCATCATAAATGCGTACATTGTGTGGGGGACCCTGCAAAGGCCCCTTCCCAGAAACCCCAGGCGCTGGTCCCTGAAGGAATTCAAAATGCAGCTTATGCATTCACTTTGTGATATGGCTACAGTGACAGGAAGAGGGGAGCCAAGAGTGTGGCACCAGGACGTGTGAACTGAGTTGTAACTCATTTGAAAGCAGGTGAAGTTTGAAGGGCACAAGAGAGGGTGTGTGGTGTGCATCCGGAGTGGACGCAGGGCAAAGAGTGGGAGAAACCGCTTTTGGGTGCTCTACGTGTTCTGTGCCACTTTTCAAGATGGGGCCGTGCTTCCAGAAGTTCCATGAGATGTTGTAGGCTAAATGCAAACACTAAAGTGACAGTGTGAAATATGTCCTACAAATCTTTTATTGTCTCTGAACAGTTGTGTTTTGTATCCTCTCTCTATTTAATACTTGTTGCATTCACTGAATTGTTGTCAAAGTAGGCTACTATTTCTACATTTTGTGTCAGGCCTTTACTAAATCTTATTGAGAGAGGTTACCTACATTTTGAAATAGTCTCTGAATAGTTATTTGCATTTTTACATTGTTACAGAAGAAAGAATCGTTGTCAATCAAATAGCCTACTTTGTGTGGGTTTTAAAATACTTTCTGAATATTCTCCTCTGGTCACATTACGGATATTTTTTGTATTTATAGTGCATTCAGAAAGTATTCAGACCCCTTTACTTTTTACACATTTTGTTACAGCCTTATTCTAAGATTTATTAAATTGTCCCCCCCCGCTCAATCTACACACCCTACCCCAAATTTACAAAAAATAAAAAACAAATACATTAAGTATAAGTATTCAGACCCTTTGCTATAAGACTCAAAATTGAGCTCAGGTGTATCCTGTTTCCATTAATCATCCTTGAGATGTTTCTACAACTTGATTGGAGTCCACCTGTGGTAAATTCAATTGATTGGACATGATTTGGAAAGGCACACACACCTGTCTATATAAAGGTCCCACAGTTGACAGTGCAAAAACTAAGTCATGAGGTCGAAGGAATTTTCCGTAGAGCTCAGAGACAGGATTGTGTCCAGACACAGATCTGGGGAAGGGTACCAAAACATTTCTGCAGCATTGAAGGTCCCCAAGAACACCGTGGCCTCCATCATTCTTAAATGGAAGAAGTTTGGAACCACCAAGACTCTTCCTAGAGCTGGCTGCCCGGCCAAACTGAGCAATCGGGGGAGAAGTGCGTTGGTCAGGGAGGTGACCAAGAACCTGAGTCACTCTGACAGAGCTCCAGAGTTCCTCTGTGGAGATGGGAGAACCTTCCAGAAGGACAACCATCTCTGCAGCACTCCACCAATCAGGCCTTTATTGGTAGAGTGGCCAGACGGAAGCCACTCCTCAGTAAAAATGCACGACAGGCCGCTGGGAGTTTGCCAAAGGGCATTTAAAGTACTCGCAGACCATGAGAAACAAGATTCTCTGGTCTGATGAAACCAAGATTGAACTATTTGGCCTCAATGCCAAGCGTCACGTCTGGAGGAAACCTGGCACCATCCCTACGGTGAAGCATGGTGGTGGCAGCATCATGCTGTGGGGATGTTCTTAAGCTGCAGGGACTGGGAGACTAGTCAGGATCGAGGGAAAGATGAACAGAGCAAAGTACAGAGAGATCCTTGATGAAAACCTGCTCCAGAGCACTCAGGACCTCAGACTGGGGCGAAGGTTCTCCTTCCAACAGGACAATGGCCCTAAGCACACAGCCAAGACAACACAGGAGTGGCTAAGGGACAAGTCTCT